GCTCCCAGACTCGGTGATCGCAACAAAAATAGTTTTTATTTTGTTACTGATTAAAGCTAAATTCATTATTAAACGTAATAGTTTCAGGTATAGATAAGAATCCATTGAATATTCTTGCTGACCGGACTTTTCCTTTAAAGCAGACCCAGAGTCAGTCTGTAACAATAACTTTTAAACCATCCCAGACATTTTTGAGATGAAACAGACATCATTAGCGCCTGTTTTGCCATTTGTCATTTTTTGAAAGCAATTAATAGAAGTACCAGGAATAGATTTTTTATTATTTTTGTTTTATCAGGAGGGAAACTACATGCTCTTACATAATTGTTCATAAATATCAACATCCTTTGTAAGAAAAATGTCGGTATCCTGGTGTGCTGTGAAGTTCATGGCTGATAGATCGGCCTCCAAAGATCTTCTCCCTAAACTTTATGACATTTATTTGTCCATTTTATGACTGATGCTACTTTCATTTTTCGTTATTGTTTATATATTTCTTAACTGGCTCATAATTTATTCCTACAGGTTGTTGTGTTGGTACCAGCCTGCAGTAAATATTGAAATTACTTCATACTATTACAGCCTTTTTCCTAATGGTATAGAAAAAATCCCATTCATCTCAATTCTACAATTACATTAGGACTAGTGGTGGAACGTAACAAAGTATATTTACTTGATTATAGGGTTGTCAAAAGTATCGATACTCAAAAAAGTATTGATACTGAAACGTTGCATCCGGATACAATACTCGTTTTTAAAAGTATCGATACAGTGCTACCACCAGTGGCACGTAAGCAGTTATTCATCTAAAGTGCTGAATAGAGGAAAATGCACTTTCAGAACACTTTATGATTGAATAATTCTGTTCACTTTTCACTTTCAGACTTTTTTTTTGTAAGAGGTGCAGCTGCTGAGAATTATTTTTGTTTCTTAACCGGTTTGGCTAGTGTCATTGTTATGCGTGCAAAGCATAGCCAAGGAAGGAACACTTAATTTTAATTGTATACGTTTTTTATCAAGCTTGCTTAATATTGTGCACAGCATACAACCTTAAAATATTGTTCTTATTGTTTATTGTATTTCTTTATTGTATTTTATTTATTAATGAAAATATTTCTGTAGAATTTGGAAGTCTTTGTTTTTATCCTTGTGGTATCGAAAATGGTATTGAGTATCGAATATTTTCCTTAGTATCGATATCGAGTTGAAAAGTTTAGTATCGTGATAACCCTACTTGATTACTGTACAAAAGTACTTTTTTTGGGTGTCTTTACTTGAGTAATTTTTCGTGGGGGTACTTCCACTCTGCTAAAGTTTATAGTAAAATATTTTAATTTCTTTTCCACTCCATTTCAAGGAAGCTGCTAGTTATTAATTTTTAAAATGCAATTTCAACATGGCAGATAGCAGCCATTGGGACTGAATTTGGACACCACTGTTTTAGAGATTTGCATGACATTCCACAGATGTGAGAAAATCAGGACAGATATTATCTGTAGTTTATACTTTTAATCAGGGTGTTAGTTGTTGCCATGTCATNTCCATTTCAAGGAAGCTGCTAGTTATTAATTTTTAAAATGCAATTTCAACATGGCAGATAGCAGCCATTGGGACTGAATTTGGACACCACTGTTTTAGAGATTTGCATGACATTCCACAGATGTGAGAAAATCAGGACAGATATTATCTGTAGTTTATACTTTTAATCAGGGTGTTAGTTGTTGCCATGTCATCAAGTTGTTTATTAGTAAAGGTTGCGGGTTCAGATTCAACCTTAGACATCTATTCCATAATGAAAGTGGGAGGAGAGTCAAGATAATCCTGTTCTGTTTTTGCTTTGTTTCTAAATAATAATACACAAAATAGCTGTCCTTGTTTGTGGTATTTTGATACTAAAGTCCTTTACAATTGGAGCAGAATTTGTCTGAGAAATAAGAGAGGACTAAGGATTCAGCCTCAGTAAACGGCCGCTCACACTGACGCTGGTTCTGCTGGAGGTTTCTTCCTGTTAAAAGGGAGTTATTCCTCTCCACTGTCGCTACAATCAACTGGTTTTCCTTCGATAAAAAACTTTGAATCAATCTATATGATCTGGCAAACTGTAAAGTGCCTTGAGATGACACGTTTTGTCAATTGGCACCATATAAATAAACTGCATTGAATTGAACACAGTCTGTTACTGAAAATATTTTAAACGGTTTCGATCAGGATGTGTCATAGATAAGACCTGCAGCATTTAAGCGGTGTGCCACTTGATGCTGACAGAAGATAAGCTGTCATGTAAGATGTAATGGCGGTTGTGTCAAAGGTTTCATTCTATTTAGAAAGAAGGAGAAGAGTTGGACCACACAATCAGATTAAGATCTCGAAACTAAAAGTGTTGGTGATCCTAAAGAAACCAGATAAATATGTATATACATATATATATATATATATATATATATATATATATATATATATATATATATATATATATATATATATATATATCGATGTCTGTTAAATGTGATAAATAAACCTGAGACAGAACCATTTTATAATTTTTGAGAGAAAAAGTAACTTATTGTTTAATATTTCGCCCTAGATGACAACCAGTGTCAGAAAGTCTACCTAGAAACAGCTCTATCATTGTACTGAGTCATGTTAAATGGACCAAACTGAAACTATGTACCATATTTCTAACACCAACAACTTTAGGGGTTTTTTCAGCCACACAGCACAGAAATAACTAAAGGAGGAAGCAGAAATTGAACCTTATTTTCCAATTTATTTTCTATGTTACTGGTAAAATAAGGCCCTATTTGGACGAACGATTATAACTTAGACAAACTGATGTGCAAACCACTGGTTTGCATGAAAAAATTTGAATAGTTTTGCATCAAGACTTTACGTCCAACGACTAAATAAGGCAAATAAGAAAAAGAAATCTCACATACTGGTAATATGCTTATAAAAAAAAAAAAAAAGATTTGTCAAGCTTTAACATCTTTACAGAATGTTAAAAATCCTGAAAATTCTGTGAACTTCTAGGAATTTCGCGCCGTTCAGATAAAAAATTGGGTTACCCTGCTTCATTCAAAGATCAAAGCAACCACACAAAAAGATAAAAGAGGTCGTTGACGATGTCAAATATAGACTCAAGCTTCTCAAGCTGAATAAAGTTAAAAAGATGTCTAAAGATTTCTCAACAAGCCGAAATAAATCAGATAAATGGAATAAAATCTTCAGTTCTCACCCTCTGACTGTTAGATCACGGTTCTAAACTAGGGACAAAAAACTCAGAACAACAGAAATGTTGTCTTGAACCAACTGTGCTGCTTCAGTCTTTAAGGCGGTAATATTCTCAGACCCATATGGTGCTCTAAGGAGTAATTGGGAAAAAAATGCAAGTAAACTGACCAGCAGTGATCTTCAGCTTTGGTAGAAATAGTGTCTGATAAAAAAAACTAAATAAAAATAGCGTTATCGGGGACTCCTTATCTAATTTGTCTTGATAAATCGGTAGACCTTCATATAGATGTAAGCGTCTCCGTATAGAAACCAATCAGAACATTTTGGATTTGGCTAAGGGAACTCCTCGATGTCCCAGAAACACTATTAATGTTGGCCAGCTGTCTAATGGGAGCCACTGCATGGAGCCCTTAGAGAGAGAAGAAAGTAAGGTTTGACCACCAGCCTTCATCTAGAGGCCATATATACAAAATGTCTTTTTTTTTTTTCACTTTAAATCAAATCAGTTTTATTTCTATACAGCAATGCCCAGTGCCCTGCCCTCCTTAAATCATATCGACCACAACACTTACTTTCAGCCGAAGCTCCTACCTGTGACAGTACAGTCATGGCCAAAA